GTGATGTGATTTATGCGAGAATTGAATCGGTATTTTCCAGCGAAAATATCGTTGGAGAGATTTTAGGGGTGGCTTGTTTATTTCTCAGATTCGATTCGTGGAGAGTAAACTTTCATTTTTTTTTTTTTTTTTTTAAGAAGTTGCTGTACCATTCTGGCAGTTTCAAAAACATCGAACTGTTGTATTTATTGATCTTCTTTAAATTCTAAATGTACATTGTCAACACGGTTTATGAAATTTCTGATCAAGTTATAAGGATGAATATATTTTTGTCTTTCAGAATGTACTTTTATCAGACATGATTTTTTAATACCTTAATTATCTGATTTCTTACAAACATTTAGAATTGATTCCTTTTGACGAGAAACGTTTCTTTTTCGTCTTCAAGAATTCTATGCAACATCTTAAGTAGTGTAGATTCTAATTTTTTTATTTCAAACGTTCTTGTTCTCGAAAGAACAATCTAATAAAATGAATAATTTTGCTTTATTTTTTTGACCCTTTGAATGTTTACTCCGTACTATCGTACAAATAATCCTGTAATCAATAGCGAAGTGATTGAATTTGCTTATTAAAGGTTCAAAGAAAATAACATGTACAATATGTTAAATAAACATGTGAAAAAAATATACGTTTAAACATGAATGCATTCTTAATTTGTTCTATGCTCTACTCGCTATTAAACTTTTAGACGCTGGCAATCTTAAACACTCGAATGGTTAAAAAATTAGAAAGTAAAGCAAAGAGCTACCTTTCACTTTACACCAAGTAAAGTAACATATACATGTTTGTTTGTTCCGTATAATAAATTTATTATCTGGATAGACATAATAATAATGATAGTAAATAGAAAAGCAGGACTAATCTATGTTACGACCTCAAACTCTATCATTATCTCCAGACACCTCGTGATAGTGCACACCTCTTTAAAATTGATGCTAGACCAAGCACTTACCTTAGTATCACCATTTTACGTGTCAGCATCTGTGTCGTATTTACAAAATGTTAGTAGAACGTTGCTACGTTAAGAAACACTTGCAAATTGGACAAGTGGCAGGTCAACTAGTTAGCACCAACTAGCACAAACAATAGAAATCGTATTAGTACGTGACGGTGTGACAAAGTTGCGAATTAGTGCCGGAAGAAGAGACTTCTGTTCTTCCATATTTACAAGTCTCGTGTGACTCGAGGAATTTGCATAGGATTGATGTTGATGCTTCGAGGGTTGGGGTGTGCACGTATGGGTATTACGATCTTCCGCGTTCAGGCGCAGTGTTTGACATTTGACAGAGGTCAGGGAGGAGCAAAGCCATCCTCCGAGAGTTCACGATCACGATCGAGATGGAACGCCGTTCACGGGAACGATCAAGCATCGCAAATCTGTTCTCCGTTCGATTCTTGGATCTCAGAGAATCTCGTCCAGCGCACGAACGTTTCCCAGTTTTCCAAGATTTCATTATTTAGAAGTGAAGTTTCGTTACAGAGATTACTTGACTCGAGATTACGAGATTACTTTTGACTCTGCTGCGTTTCTCCAATTATTTCCAAGCTACTTGTATCTTCCTACCATTCTGCAAACTCCTTGTTTGCAAAAATCAGAGCAAGACTGTAACGATTTGAGAATTTCTTCTTTAGCCCTTAGTATTTATATAAATGTATAAATATAAACTGTTGTATAAACAACCGAGTCTAAAGATTACATAGTCATCGCAATTACTGTCGTTATTTTATCAACAACGAAATAGTAAAATTCCAATGAACTGACACAGCCATCATCAGTGTCAATGGGTACGAGTAGCATTTTCAGCCGTGATTAATTAACTATTCATAGTGAAGATCCTCGTGCAGCGTGTGAACGTGTTGGAGTGAACGAAGATAGGAGTAGATTTGGGTGATCCGAGGTGTGAGACAACAAATAAATAGCGTTTTATTCACAAGTTAGGTGCCCGGGGTTAGTTTCATCCCCAAGAAATTACTGCTCGCTGCGCAGAGCTTTTGGTGGAGGTTCGAATTTTAAGAGCAGACTCGGTGCCATTCATTGCTTCTGCGTCACCAAAGCACTCTCATTTTTTTTTTTTCCCCCTTCAGAATCCAATCGACGATTTACCTTGGTTGGGTGGCACGAATCCATAGCCGCTCGCGCCTACTATCACTCCGCTGGTGTCCGCGTTATTTGGCGGAGGACCCGGAGGGAACAGCACTGGACCTGAATGGAAAATCATGCTCGTCAGAAATTTCGAAAATATTAGAATGTTCGAGAAGTCTGTAGCGAAAACTTCTGTATTGTAAAGTTGGAAGAGAATTAAAAAAAAAAAAAAAAAAACAGTAGAATTGATATGTCATTTACGTATGTTGTATCGTCTACTATACATTGTCTAAATGTATTATCTACTTATGATGATCTATTTTCATCGAACTTTTGAATATCGAATATTGAACTGAATTGATACGATATAATCGATATAATCGATATAATCGATATATCGATATAATCGATTATATCGATTATATCGATATGCTACTAAATTCTTCGCTACGAATTTTTCGGACAATCTAATAAGAGAAATAATATTCTTACAACTATCTTGCTATAGTATATTACAATAAAATTATAAAGTTATAATACAATATTAAGTTATATTATTATTACATTATAATGTTAATATTTATATTACAATTACGGAATTATAATAATATTAAAATGAATAACATTCTTGCAATTGTTTTTGAAAATTAAAGTAGTAATGTAAAAAAAAAAAATTGGCACCTTATAAATCAGATTTTTCGTTTAAAAAGTTCATTTTTTCTCAGCTGGTTTAGAATCAAATTATTCAAGAAACGAGTTGATACAAAATTATTACACGCAGCATGACAATTTATAATTTCTACAAGAATTGTTCAATCCACCAACGCAGTGTCAATTAACCCCCCCCCCCCCACTGATTGATCTACCTGCCATAGTTCACGTAGTAAACAAAATTGAACAGCTCGCGAAGCCTTAAACGTCATCCATCAAGCTGTTCATTAAACCCTTTCGACACTCTCCGTTTCCATGTCCATCGACCCAAATCCGTAGGAATTTCAATGAGAAACGACATCCCAGCTCATTCTCTATTCCCACGAGAATGCAGGCATGTTATGAAAAATCATAAACAGGCATTAAGTGAGCTCGCGATTATACAAAACACCATTCCCTCGAAAGGCCATGTACCAAATGGAATTGCGCGACTGTTTGTTTTTATCAAGACTTGACAAATTATTAATTGATCCCGGACGAAATTTCTGGGAAAGAGAATTTTTGAAAAGAAATAATATTCTTTAAGTATGTTAAGTATGAAATGTTCAACGTAAGTTGTATAAAATGTTATTTGAAATACTTCGAAAACTATTAACACTACTGGTAGTATCGTAGTTATTACAGTAATTTACGTCGAATAAAAATTAGTAATAAAATTAAAACTTTCGAATTTAAATTCGCTTATCTTCGAATTATTACGTTTTCTGACGCAATCTAATGGCACTAATTAAGGGTGAGAAAGTATAGAAAGATAAAATGTTATGTTCTTAAACGATTGCATTTCTGTTTCTTTAAGTCACATATAAACCATGAAAGATTTATGTAACATTGCATACTGTATAATTATATTGACATGTAGTATAACAGTATACATGTGGAAAGATTTGCATTTCCATATGGAAAAGACATTCCACGCTGCTGTACACCTTAATATTTCAGGCGCGACGGATAATATTAGATTAATATTATAAGAATAAGAAGAGAATATTCTGGTATATATATTTGTACTTATATATATATATATATATATATATATATATATATATATATATATATATATTCATCGAAATCGGGTAAGTAATCGAAAATTAAATAGCGAATCCTTTTAAGATTACGGAATTCGTTACGTAATCTGTGGTCCGACCTTCATGGTCATTGATTGCGATCAGGATTGAAAGACTCCAGTAAGTCTTTCTCTCATTTCGCTTCATGTTTAGTGTCATTTCGATTATGATCGAGAGCTGAAATATGAATCACAGTTTCAGAATATTTACGTACAATGGTTCTCCATGACCCTTTCGGCGGACGATGACACGACCGGAATTTAAATTATAGTACATTGTACGTTTCCAAGAGCTGTGGAACACTAAAATCTTGATAATCGATTATCAGCGCGATTATTTATACACCTATTGTTATTTATTCTCAGAGACAAGCTGTCAAGGAAATCCAGTGGGGATTCTGCTTGAATGAGGAAATAATTTGCAACGTAAATGATTATTAATCGATTAATCATAGTTTCTGTTACAAGACGTAGGAAACGTCCGCCTGTGTAGCGAGCGTTTCGCGATGTTTATCGCTGGACGACAAAACTGTTACGAAATCGGCGATACTCGATGGCGAACACTTGATCAACTGTTCCGGTTAATTAAGAAAGGCTAACGACCGGAATCGAGACCTATTCTTATCTAACTTTCGCTAATGAACTCAACTCCTTGTCAAGTCCATTCAATTTCTTTTTCGCCCGTGGTCTACAAATTAGTCTCAATGGACAATAGCGTAAAACTGTGTTTCAAGAACTGTTGAAAGGAAGAAAAATTGTTATCTAATAGACGGCCGCAAGAAATCGACCAGTCTCGCAGGACAACTCAACAGCTCACTGTCGGCGATACTTTCCCGCGGCTATTTATTGTGAGTGAGTCTGAACTTGGCATCCATTCCTTGCTTAAACGCGCGGCGTTCCACTCGATCGCAAAGATCGCGATCCTGTGCGTTACGTGTGCATCGATCGGCGCACGTAACAACTGGCGCGGGCGAATGTCTCAACTGCGGTGCCGATCTTGGAATACAAATGCACGACAACAGGTCTCATTTACGCGACAAACGATGTCTCGTTCAATCATAAATTATGAAAATTCCAAGTTGACGAACACGTGACACGTGATTAGAGAAGGGATCCGAGGCCGACCGTCGATTCATTCGAAGCTTGAAACACTTGAAGATGTTCTGATAGATCTCCAGTCTGGATCGCTTTGGAAGTTCTGATATCCGTGAACATCTTGGATGAGTGTTTTGGATATCTTGAAGGCCTTGAGAGTTTTGCGAAAGCGATGAGTATTTCAATACTCCATAAGCTTTTCGATTACTTGAATTCAAATATTCTATTAAATTATTATTATAAATTATAATAAATTATTATATAATTATTATTATATAATGAATTATTATAATTTAATTTATTATTAAAATATAAATATATTTAATTTATTATTAAAATATAAAAGTATTTAAAAAAAGTTCGTTTTACGGACGTCTTTCAAAACGTTCAGGACAGTCAAGATAATCGAGACTTTCTTTCAAAAAAGGATGATCAAGAATTTTCGAAGTCACGTTCGAAGCGATACGAATGTTTTTGCTCTTATGTCGGAAGTGAATCGAAAGTGTTTCAAATCCCGTTCCCGAGTTTCTAAAATTGGCCAATCAAGTGCAAAACGAGCAACTTAATAAATTCATGCCGATTTATAGAAGCCAGATAACTCGTTGAAATATATACGATCGCTTTCCTTTTGCTCGGACCGTATTATACTAATCACGAGCCGTTGCTGGCTCAACTAAACGTTCATAAGGCTGGTATCGGTACGCTCAACGCGCTGGATATCGATCAAATTATTGCGATTAGTATCCTCTTCCGCCATTGATCGTAATTCCTGTAGTTCCCGAACCTTCGGTAATTCGAGGATAATCTCGTTTAGTAACAGCGTCACGCTTCGCTGGAAACACGAGCGGAAATGGAATTAACCGCGAGTTCGTGAATCGATGCCTGCCGTTCTCACGGTGAAAATTATTTCTGACTAAGGACTCGAGTTCTGGGATTAGGATCGAGAGTAGTATCGATCAAAACGGAAGTGTGTGTACAGGATCAGAAGGGTTTCGAAGGATACGGGGATTAGCATACTTGCCCCTGTTCGATCGTGGATCTCGCATTACCGCTGCTTGCCTCAGGTAAGGGCCGAATCCAGCGAACAACTGACTATAATCCTGGGACGAAGCCACTGCCAGGATCATTAAAACCAAAACCACCGGGATTGTCTGAAATGGAAAGATTAACTTGATACCTTCTTTCATTTGGATCTTTATATAATCAGTATATAATATACCAACATACACAGGATGAATAGAAAAAAAGGGTTCATAATTTCTAGAAGTACTCGTCGAAACATGAAAAAATGGCCCTAATAAACATGAGTTAGAAAGAAAAATTAATAGTTTCAAACGATCTGTTGCGTTTCTTTAATTAACAAAATAACATTTAATTCCGTTCAAAAAAACATGTTTTTCCGAATTGTATTATAATAATTATGATAATTTAGATATCTCTAATCTCGACTATTTTTTCAATGAAACATTTGAAATATCGCGACAAAAGGACTTGGGTTTTGATTTTTCGTCAATCAATTAATTAGCTTTTTATTCTGAAAATCTACTGCAGTTTTATATATATAATTTCACTCATTCGTTTATTAAAAAGTTGTGATTTCAATTTGTTTGTTTTATGTAAAATCCACTGCGAAAT